TTTGTGCTATATACTGTAAATAAAATGAAGTTGAAATGAAAACTGAACAATAGAACCCACTTTTTTGTGGACAGCCCATTTGTTTGACATTACAGCAAAGTCAGGATATTTATATATGATTCTGTTTGGTTTTATTTATTCTGAAAAGACTCTTTGAGCCAGAAGTGAACACTACGCCTTTGGACAAGAGTAGATTTCTGTACACAATCACTGTAACAACTAAGGACAGAGCGAAGGTTTGCTGTGATTAAACAGTGCAAAAAAAAAAAAAAAAAAGAAAAACTCTCCTGGTGTTTCAACCTGTGTGTAAAGAATCCGGCTGAACAAGGAAACAGTCTTGTTGGAATTAGATCCGGATGACTAACTGTACCGTTACTGTTCAAGTGAGATGAAATTGAATCTGTCTGTTCCAAACATTTACCCTAAAAGCTAAAGTTGATCCTCCGCAGAGGGAGTCAGAGCTGTTGCCTGTACCAGGAATGCAATGAGAATGACTGGGGGTCAACATCACAGTAATGTCCCTGTCTAATCAATTCTGATGAAACACAAAATAGTAAATCAAGGTCTCCCCTCTGCATGCTGGAAGGAATGTGAGCGTGTATAGATTCTTTTTTGGTGGTTGTCCACAATGCAACAACAAGGCTAGCATCAACCTCGACCACTTCTGACAGAAGGCACCAGCCACATCGGAGAAAACTCTGGGTTCCCCGCACACAACAGTTCATTGTAACTCGGCGGTTTGAGGTTGGACAGATCTCTTTCAGGTTTGTTTTATTTTGTTAGCGTGGATCTGTTCTGTTGCTGTGTTTGCAACGGAGAGCCTGTGGGGGGAAAGAACCACTGGCTGGTTTCTGTAAAAACAAAATGTGTCAGATTTGATTTGACCAGGACAGAACCGTGCACTCATTCTGCGGGATAATCGAGCACTCTTGCCATGATGCAGAGGTTGCAGAGTTGCACATTGAAGCCGCGGGCTTACCCCTCAGGGCTCCCCACCATGTGACACGTCACCCAGCCACCCAGGCAGGTGATCTTTTGTCCGGGAGAGGAAGGGAACGATGAAACATAAGCACACAGACCTCACCGCCGCTCGGGTGTGCAGTGTGCAGAGAAAGGGAGCAGATGAAAGGTCTAGGATGGATACAGGAGTGCTGTCAGCTGTATTGTCTGGCTTTGCTACTGAGGCTTGAATAGAAAAGAGAACCGGGCAGGAGAGGACGAACAGAACCAGCTGGAGCACCTGGAGTCCAAAATAAGCGACTCGGACGTCGCCACAACAAAGGCACAGATGGAGGTGTTATTTGCAGCTGCATCAGATGGCACCCTTAGGTGCAGATAATTGAATGCATACTTTCAGACCATCAAAAAAAAGTACTTAATTGACTCTCCTGCCACAATAAGAGAACACTGTTTAGCAACAAACAGCGTCAAATACTAAAAAAACACTAACAATGAGTCTTTGGACAAATCTTGGCTCACTTTTTCACAGAATTGTTTTAATTCTCCTTAGATGAAGCTTTTTAAGTTGCATTAAACTGGTTTATTTTCTTCCAACAGCAGGTTATTTAGATGAATCTACAGATTTTAACTAGGCCATTTAAGAACTTCAGCTTAGAGGAGCATTAAGCGATAATTTATAATACCAGATAGACAGAACTGAGAAAAATACAGGTATAAAGAACTAAATATATCATTTTAGATAAAACATGGTGTGACATCATGCACTTTCTGTATTGTCTCTGATCTTTTGTTTTCAACCCAGGTTCATTCGAATAGATGCCACTTAGGGAATCTATGTTGAGAAATTGAAACACATGGTTCCTCTGAGTGCAAACAATCCATTTTTCAATAGGTTGCACTTAAATAGGAAACACTTGCTAACAGCTAAGACCCTTCGTAGCAAAAACGTAGATTTTGTTTCACTAAATCACTAAGAAAGTACTCACCATAAGACAGGAAGTGAATCCAGTTAGTTTGAAAATATGAAGCATTCAAGAGATTGGGTGTCTTTTGAATGTTGGACTGTCATATCAATCCGTAAAAGCCTCATTGCTAATTTCAGTAAAATAGGCTTTACTGTGTTAAATAAAATTTTTTAATCTATTTCTATTCTGAAGTATTTCTTATTTTGTTTTAATGTAGATCCGTAGATTTTAACGGCGTGGAATCTATTACATTTGTTTAAGTATCTGAACGATTATAACAGACATTATGAAAGAACAATATGATCCCTTTAATAAAAAAAAGCCCATTCACATCCGTATGATTTACAAAGATGACCTGAATATTTTTGGAAGCTTGTTTCTGTGTGTGTGTGTGTTGTGATGGTGGAAGGGTAATCTATGCAAAGCTCCGGAGCCGAACGTGAGGTGTCGAAAGCCAATAAGGCCGTATCAAAACGAGGGCAGAGTTAATTAATCATCTCGGCTTCCTTTTCATGGCCCTCCCGCGGCTGTCCCGGGGGCTTGTGTGAGTGCAAGTGTGTATGCGCGTGCATGGGTGTGTGTTTGAAGCAGCAGGAGGGTGGTGCAGGTTGCAGCTCGGAGGGGCGGGGGGGTGCATTAGCATATTGTAATGTGAGCCATGTAGACCGCTGAGCTCCTGTATGTCTGCAGCAAACCTCTTTGGGACAAACAGGAAATAACTGACACCTGCCCCATTCAGTGACCAGAAAATGATGAAAAGTGACAATTAAAAGAAAGAAACTCAATTGGTTTCATTTACATTTCCATATCTGTTATTGTGGCTCATTAGAAGCATGTATGCTCCCTGTCAAATTACCCTTTTTTATTTTTCTACATCAAACATTTGTCTTTAGTAATTGATTTTTATTTTGGGTAGAGATGTAACAATAAAGTGGATAATTTTACTTTTGCTTTCGATCAGAATTTTAGATGATAAAACTATGATACTTTTTTCAACAAAGCCACAAGGCAAGTTTGTTGATATAGCACCATTAATTTAAAGTACAGGGCTTTAAAGTAACTAACAGGGCACAAGTAACAGGAAATTAAATCTTGTTGAAGGATTTTAGCAGCCAAAAATATTGGTATTTATCCTCAGAAATTCAGACCATTGCCATTACATGAAGTGTGGTAGAAAAGTCATGTGATAGCACCTAGATATAAAGTTGTCTGTCGTCAGCATACAGTTGATTTTACAGCATTCTACCATCTAAGCTAGTGGAATAACAAATATTAAAATGAACTGTCCTCAGAAAAGACCCTTGTGGAACCCCTAAATTCCTGTGTATTTATTTTTTCCAATTCATATATACAACGAGACACAATTCAGTACAGTACCAGATTAAAATGCCAATTACTATTGTCTGCTAATCAGTTTATTGTGATCAAATGCAGCACTAATACCAATCGTAAATGTAATGATCAAGTAAAACTAATACAACACTTTAGGATAACTCAGACATACTGTAAATGGTTTAAAACAATGTACAGTATATCACTTGTTTTTCATACCCTTGTCCTCACTTAGAAAATACCCTATTAGATATTAAGCTGGTCGAAGAACAGCACCATCAATATTTCTTGGAAAGGACTTTAAACAAAAAAAAAACAACTCTTTGGACTTATTTAACCCATCCTGTTCTCCTTATTTATACTGTATTCATTCAGAGTATCTTTGCAAACAGCTTTAATATTTAGGGATTTGTCCATCATTATAATATCTTTCTCAGGAAATGTAAGAGAAAACTAAAAATGCTTATCCTGTCACAAGTGCTGAGAATAGCATGTTAGGCATGGCTGACTTTAAATGTCTCCGTACAACATTTTTTTGGAGTTGCATGAAATCAAAACACTTTTGTTCTATGCAAACAACCGATTATAGTCATTAATCAGTCAACAACTGCAATTAGACTTCACAAAGAAAGAGGGAAAATATTTTTCTAAAGATTTCTTGCTTTTCTTTGCTGTCTCTGCCTCCAGCCGTCTCGCCACCATCCATAATTAGTCTTAATGCTCTACAGCTGGCAAGTCGCTCATCTTCCTTTTTAGTCCGAAGTGATGTGGCACTGCAGCGCAACCAAAGCTCAGTGGCTGATTCCATATTCATATTTTTCATTCACGAACACTAAGCTCTATTGTAAAGAGTAATGTGGCACAAGCGTATTGTCACGCTGCTTCTCTTTGATGGGTTGAGTATCTGTGTTTTTATGCAACATGTCATCCATTACATAGCCAATATTATGATTCCATTTCATGGAAATGTGTCTGCTTGAGGCAAAATGTGAATCAATCAGGCTTAATTCATGAAGTGGGCCACAAATATATATAGTTCATTAGAACTGTTTGGTTCCTGATGATGAACCAGTTCACAACTTTTTAGGTAGGCTGGTGTCCAGGCTTTGGTTGGAATACTAGAGTATTTTACTACTCTATCCATTCAAAATCAAGTTAAGATGTCTGTATGTGTGATCAATAAAAGGTTTATTAATTTTTCTGGATGGGTTCTTGTTTGTTGAAAGAAAGACAAAAGAACCTTTCTAGAGGACTTTTTCTGCTTTTTTAGGATTTATTTTTTTCTACCTTGATTATTGAGATGTAGTTATTGTAGTGGTAGAGCAATAGCTTTTAATTTTAGGTAATGTGGAAGAGTTTGGAGGTAGTCCTTTTTTTGTCGTTCTATGTGTCTCATGGAATGCAATAGTTGTTCAGCCAACATGATGCTATGACCATCATGCATACCATGCATGCTGATACAATGCTTTCGTAGAGGTATAAGCCTCATATTGTTAGGAATCCAGTTTGTGTGTTTCTTCTCTCTCCACCACCAGGTGGTGCCCTGTCCTCGTTGGACCTCCCTGCACACCTGCGATTCGTTGGTTCATTACTGGAGGAGTATTTGAGCAGTGGGCTGTCACTACCTCGACGCCAGAGTGTTTTCCAGTTTTGGTTACTCTAGCCAAGCTGAGATTAGCAGAGTCTAACCTAAGCTTTGTTTCTCTGAGTCTTATGTGTTTTTTTGTCTTTGCTCTTCGGCAGGAAGCCTTCCTGTGAAAACTGGATACCTGGACCTTCTCCGCCTGGAAGGAATTACTGAGATTACACTAAGCAGGGGAAAACCTCCACACGATCCGTTCAAGTCCCCATTGGAAATCCAAATGACAGTCCGCTCCATTACTCCTCTGGGTCCAACATATGTCTACCTGTCCGTCCTCCAACGAGTTCCCTTTTCTCTGGATAATCCCACATAGACTGGATTCAAGGACTGACAAGAGCCCCCTCAAAAGTGAGTCCCTCTCCAGCATATTTCAAGCCGCAGTCTAATTTCCTACGGTCTCTGAACTGATCTCTGTGATCTCCCCTTCAGACTTTCCAGTTCCGGTTCACCAGTTCACTGAGTTTCAGATCCAACCTCTGTTTACATTACATCAAATAAACCTGTTAAACTTTCCCTCGTGTTCTCTAAATGGTTTCTCTGCATGTGAGTCAGATTCATCAAACTGATCATGACACATATTGAGTCATCTTCAAGTCAAGTCATCTTGTCGTTGTGGATGAAACTTTACTATTAACTATTAAAATTATGTCCAAAGGCATTCATCTTCCTATAGAGTGGTGACAAATCTAAACAACTTTTACTCCGGCATATCTGTTCGAATGTTATGATATGAGGGTAATTAAAAAGAGCTTCACAATACCTTCTCAAACATCTTTACAAAGATCCGTGGACTGGACCATTCTACAGATTACAGTCCATTGAATACTGCCACAGCTTCAAGTATTCACTAACCAAATGTCAATATAGTTGAGCCTTCCAAAGTTAAGCCATTCTTGGACCTTTGGCACCACTTAATAAATGATTAGGTGTCTCCTTTTTACGTTTCAGCATGTTTGCATAACTTTGATCCCTTGTGAATCAGAGAAAATCCACATTAAGATACCATATAATAAACTTGTACTTTGGCCTTTCTTATGGCCAATAAAAGGTTTGAAAGCATGGTTAATGTAGACAATGCCACAAAGCAAACAATTAAGCCACAGTAGATCCCAGCTAAGAAGGGCGGATAAAGGTCATAAACCTTATAGGTCTTTCAGAGTTGAAAATTAATTGAAAAAAAAAAAAACTGCAAATAGTGTTGGTTGGGGATGAGCGAGAGGATGAAACAGGATGGAAAAATGCAACCATGCATGTTGTGTTTCATGCCCCTCCTTCTCCTCCACAAGCCATTAGTCACTATCCAGCTCCTGTTAATGTAATTACATAAAGGATGTATGGAGTTTCAGAGCCCAGCAGAGACATTTGTCTGTGTAATTACATCCACCTGGTGGTAGGGGCAAGAAATCCCCAGAAATGACGCTCACATAAGTCAAAGGAAACCTACTGCTTGAAAACAAAAGTTAAACCAAATATCAAGGACCAACCAGCTGGAAAAGCACAATCAACCATAGCTGTTTTATTTTTAGATTTGACTATTGCCATGCACCGCACCATCACATGTCGTAAAATATCTTGTCCAATGTACAGATAGGTCCCCTGGTCCGGACAGTCTGGGACAGCATCAGAACCATGAAACGAGGTCTATTCGAATGTCTAATTAGAAGCTGCTGAGGTGACCTAGATATGGAACATGGTGATAGGCATAGTCACGTTAAGTCACATGAACAAAACCTTGACATCCTTACAAAAACAGACCTTCTTTTTGGGTTGTTATGAGAATTCAAATCCTGTGAGATTTGTAAAAGAAAGTTGACGATAAACCCTTAAAAATTCCCCTAAGAGTGCAGATGAAATCTCAGTTTAACACACTAGACACCAAAGTTCAGTCGCTTACTTATGGATTATAACTCTTGAGTTGCTTCATTTCCATAGAACAATATCACAAATACCACTTTAAGACCTGCTTCTTGACATATGCTCTCCCACTTTATTTTCTTGGCATATAACACTGAGATATAGAAGGAAGGATCTCTAAAAGTATGAATCACCACTCACCGCTATAAGCTGCAGCAAGGGAACGCTTCGGAACCTACCAACGCCAACATCCATCAACTGGCTCATCCTCCGACCCTTCGTTTTATTTCCCCACCTTATCTACTTGCCCTCCTCTTCTTCCGCTTCGTTCCCCACTTCTGTCCCAGCTGCCTTGCTGAGTCTCAGCTGCTGCCTGCCACTGGGTGCGTGCATGCGTGCGTGTTACGCATGTATGTGTTAGGATGATGATGCAGCAGTGCAGCTTTGGCAGCAAAGTGCCTTGCATGAATCCGTGCCTCTCCTCACCAAGGGCCACATCAGCTCTTGTTAATTTTTAACTGCCGAGTCAAGTCAGATTAAATCACCTGGGCCAAACAGAGGCTTGCTGTATTTGCGTGTTGGAGATTCTAGGGGTTTGTGTACAGCTAATAACTACCATTGGTAGTTTTGTACACATTTAAGGCAATAAGACATTTGAGAAATAGTGTCTTTGTCAATGGTTTCTCTTTTTTTTTTTGCTTTCATTCAGTTTCTTAGCAGGAAAATCGCATGTTGTGATGAAATTTGTGGTTTTGTAACCAAACGTCAGTGCAAATGTTTTCATAATCAAAGAGGAGCTCATGAAATAACAATTTCTCTCTACATTTTACACACATTTTTCCTCTTAATCTAGGTTACGGAGGGAAGAGCTTCAAAAAAAGATCCACAAACATTTAAATTTTAAGGAAAACTTTCTGGCACAACTGTCTAACTAGTTAAAGACGGCAGTAGAATACGCTTAGGCAGGAAACAAGCCTTAACTGCAAAGTTACAACCACCAAATATGGAGGGGCCCAGTAAGGGCTGCAAGGCCCACTTTAAACCTTTTCTTTAAGTTGATCATCCATGTTACAATTTTCTTTACCAAAAGCCTTTAAAGGGATCCTTGACTCGATTTTGTCCTAAAAATTCTGCTATAAACAACAAATGACCAATTTTTATACATAAAAATAATCATAATACTTAAAAAGCTAGAAAGGTTGCCATTTGTTTCACCTGCTTATTGCATGCTTGGTTGATAAGTTGGTTAGGTCTTATAGGACAGGAGCCTCCAGAGCAAACACAGGATTGGCCAACATTAGCAGATTTGCTTTTTATTCCTATTGAGTTTGACAGGGATAAATTTGGACAACGCCGCAATGTATCCCTACCTCAAAGTTTTTATCTATTGAAACAAACAAATGTGATTGGATTGTTATCTGCTAACACCATTAGCAGCTAACATGACATCAAAAATAAATCAGAGAAAATGAAAGACTGTTGGGAAGTGTCAGCCAAGCATCCTTCAGTTGTTACAACAGTTATCTTCAAATATATTTGAGAAAATGTTTTGATCCTGATTCTAACCATAAACAGCCCCAGAAACCGGAGCTCTTTGTAGTATAGCTTTCCACGAATACCCTCTGCTTGTTACTCCCTTATAATATTCTGATTTCCACATTGTCATCATTTTCAACAAGTTTGAAATGAACATGTTTAGCGTTGGTCTTTGCTGTTTTGGCTAGACGGAGCTAGCGCTACAGGACGTAGAACCCACTGAAGCATAAAACAACATAGGCATGTCCATGTGTAAGTTAACAGCTTACATTGTTTTCACGGTATTGCATTTACAGGGTAAATAAATATTTTTCTAATTAAGTGTTTAACTAATGTTTCTATTGTTTGTTTTTTTCTTACAAAAAGGGTCAATAAATATTAATGTTGTATTAAAGCTACAGTGTGTAATAATTACAGGGATATAAAGTCAGAAATTGAATATATTATACATAACTATGTTATTTATCATCACCTATGAGCTCAGCCTTTTAACCATAATATTTGCGTTGCCTTAGAATTCGTTATTTATAATTACATAGGAGCGGGTCTCGCAGCCATGGAGGCAGACATCTTTGCGCTACGGCAAGCGCAGAAGCAACAAACTAGCGATTGCGAGATCTCCCATTACGCTCGAAAGTAAATACGGCAAGTTGAGAGAGATTAACTGAGACGGTACTGAACAGTAGATGGCAGTATTATGCCTGAGAAGCGTTTAGTCTGCCTGAAACCAAAGAAGAAGAAGAAGCAGGTATACTGCGCCTCAGTAACAAGAAAGGTGAACAAGGCGGCAGGAGTGAGTGACTTTGCAAACTGTTTGGCACTGTGTGGCCAAACATCAGACGAATGGAGGATCATGCCTACTCTGTATCACAACGAAAAGCGGCAGACACCGAACCCCCGTCATCTAAGAAGCGGAAACACGACGAGAATAAACGCAAGCATGACAAGAAACGGCAAAAAACACGGATCAACATTGGCACGGCATTTACACGATGGAAGTCATGGATGGAGGAAAAAGGTTTTCAAAGTGACGCTCAAGTTGCCAGTTTTCTGCTGGACAGGTAAGGCCACAGCTTCATAAAATTACCACAGCTGATAGTGGCGTGTGTGAGTGTGAGAGAGACAGATATATGAAGCTGCATATTAGCGAGCTACGGATATATACCTCGGTTACTTCTCTCCGGCTCCTTTGGAGATCTTCAAGCCTTTCCTCTTCTGCTCTAGTCACCCCGCTGCCTCCTTTCTCTCGCCTGGCCCTGGCTGCACGCCCACCCCGGCCTCTCTGCCCTCTTCCTCTCCCTCTTCCTCGCGTTGTAACCCCCGTGCCACAAACAAGACTTGGACTCTGTAAACGGGGAATATATATTCTTCCAGCGAATACAATCTCGCTGTTAAACTAATGACTACAATTACTTCGTCTGTTTATATCACCATGCAAAGCAGCTCACCAAAACGTCACAACGATGTAGAAAAAATAACGGGTATATTTATTATCTAAAGTCTACATCAAATCTATACCCTACACAGACTAATGAAATACTATCTGTAAAATTATCTATGTAAACAAACCTCATTACTTGAGAAGGTAGGTGATGCGGACGTCGTGGAAGACATTTTGTCCTGTAACGCTCGCCGTATTGTTGGGGGGGAGAAGCGGTGGGGGGGAGATGTTCATGTTGCTGCAGTCTGCAGTCTGGACGTTAGATGTCGCTGAAAATTACAAACTGTAGCTTTAAAGCTCTATCAAACAGGACTCTTTTGGAAAAATGCTTCAGGACACCGCTACATTGTTCTGCCCCTTATAGCAGGTATCTAGGGTCACCACATTTAGCAAATTAAAATAAGGTACACGTATGGCCTGAGCTCCACCCCCACACCCCTACATATTGCCAAAAATGAGCAAATTCTAACAAACCACAGTTATTGTACAGTTATATAAGTCTACTGTATAATTTATGAGTAATTAAGAACCATAACCTTCATCTGGCAAAATGTCCACCAAAAACCCTTTTTTTGAGTGATTCATCCTAATTTGCTGAAGTTCTAGAAATGTTTTTGACACATCTGAGTTGTGTCCAAGGTTTTCATGAACTTTCATTGTTTTTTTACTGTTAG